TACGCAGTGCTAACCGCTAGGGTAGATAATAAAGTTAGATGAGATGTGGTACCAAGGGGTAACATCTCCAAGGGGTAAAAGAGCAGAAATTGTTAGTCTTACCCCTGGGATTATGAAGTTTCTAGGGCAGCACCCCAAGATAAACAGGGACCAAAAAGTACTTTCCTATTCTTTTCAGGTTATATCAAGAATTTTAAATGAAAAGTTTTTTCTTAAATTTATGTTTCAGAATCTTTGTGCTTTTAGCACTCATGAAGCTTTAAATTCCTGTTAAATATGCAATTTTAAAATGTCAAAAAATTTCAGAAATTTTGCTCTTTTTCCTCTAGAAGCATTAAAAATCAATGTAGAAAATTATATTGATTTATCTTTATGTAGATAATTACCAAGGTCAGTGATTTGTGGTGTTATGTCAGATTATATATTGGTGTCATGATGACCCAAAACGTGGTGTTTTTGGTGTTTGCATTATCAAACTTGAAATGAAATAAGTTAACTGGGTGAACCTTGTCCTTTGGCCTTACTTGTTAGTCTCCAGGGTGAAACATAAATTAACTTCTCCTCCCTTCCCACCCCCTGATTGCTAGTCTTTTTAAGAGATACTGATTCAGTCACGTGGATTTTGTTTGTTTGTAGTTTGTCTTTAAACTGGAAACTGAACCTAAGAACACTGGTATTTTGTTAAGCCTCGGAGCTAAATCATTTTGTGACATGAAGCAAAAAAGTTCAGTGGTCCCCCAGGGGTAGGCCTGGGCTCAGAAGCCTAGATCTTTTTTCCTTTAGTCTTAGGGTAGGAGTTCTTCACCTTTTTCATATTGTACCCCTTGTCCAGTCTGGTAAAGTCTGTGGCCCTCTTTTCAGAAGAATGTTTTTCAGTGTATAAAGTAAAGTCCATAGAATTTTAAAAGAAACAAGTTATGTTGAAATGCAGTTCTCAAAATATAAAAGACATGGGGCAGCTAGGTGGTACAGTGGATAGAGCACCGGCCCTGAAGTCGGGAGGACCTGAGTTCAAATCCAGCCTCAGACACATAACACTTACTAGCTGTGTGACTCTGGGCAAGTCACTTAACCCCAATTGCCTCACCAAAAGGAAAAGAATATATAGAAGACAAACAAGTTAATGGATCATATGTTAAGAGTCTCTATTTTAGAGGAATTACTAATTTATTTTTAATGACTGAGTCTACTGAAACATTCCATATGAAGCTTTCTTTTCCTTCACCTATTCTTTCTGTCTCTCCAACTAAGCATACTTTGCAGCAAAAGCCTACTTCTACAGTAAGTATTTATAAAAGGAGTAGAATGAGAAACTGGTAGTGTTAATCTCCATGATGTGAGCCCTTGTGTCTATTCTGAGAAAGATCCTCTTGTCATAAAAAAAAAAAACTGACAAAGACTCTGCTTAGCCAGGCCTTGGAATGAGAACAAGAACTAATTTAGAAGACAGCGCTCCTAGTAGCACAGAAGCCTGTTATAGTTTATTCTGTGTTTCTTCTATTTTCCCCAAAAATTTTTTTAAAAATTAATTCATTAATTAGACTAAATAGGATTTATTAATGAGTTGAATTGTGCATTTGGGAATGGGGACAGAGAGCACAGTTTGAGGTTGGCAGTTGTAATCACTTTACAATACAGCCAGTCTATGGACCATGTTTTGTTTTCAGTTTGTTGTTAACAAAAACCTGCTTTTCAGGAGTTTCAATATGGAATGATTAAACAACCAGAGTGTATCAAAGATGTTCATCTTCAGTTTAATGTTAATTAATGGTAATCATCATTAATGAGCCTAGTTCTCATATCATTCAGAAGGATAAGGGTTTCTAAATAGAATTATAAGAGTGGTAGTTCATAATTTCTTTTCCTTGTGTAATCCCACAAAACTAAATGTATAAACCTTCTAGATATAGTAGAACTAAGCAGCTGTAGTAGAAGCAAAAAGAACTTTGTAATGGGAGTCAATTGACCTGGGTTCCTGTCCCAGTTCTGACACTGGCTGACTACTTATGTGGCTTAGCACAAAGTACTTTATCATGATGGACCTTCATTCATCCGTCAAAGGCCTTTTGGCAATAGTTTACAAAATAGATTATTTTTAACATAGCTTCTATTGCTAGATTCTGTCATCTTAGGATTTAGATCTCCACCTCAGACCCCCAACCTATAGTTTCATCACTGTGGACTTCGCAGAGCAAAGACTTTCTCCACCGAAATCAGACAGGCAACTCATCTATATCTTGTAGTCCTAGAGTTGTTTGAGAGCATCAAGAGGTTAAGTGTCTTGTTCGTAAGTACTAGTACTAGCTATATCATGTAATATGTGCCAGGCACATACTGTGAGAGACAGATTGAACCCATGTCTTATTGGCTTGACTCCAGGGCTAGCTCTCTGTCTGCCATATATCTCTTTTCACTAGGATTCATGGAATCAGAGATTTAGAACTAGAAGGGACCTTTGCAGTCTTATAGTTCAAACCTTTTTTTCTCATTTTATAGATGAAGAATTGAGGCCCAGATCAGTTAGGTGACTTTCCCATGGCCCTTCAGGTAGTAAGTGGCAAAGTCAGGATTTACTTACTTAACCATGCTGATTCGAACATTTTGGCTAAAATTTGTTTTAAAGAAAGTATTTCATGCCCTCCATTCGAAGAGCTGTGTTACAAAATCATGGCATCTATTTGCCTTCAGTCAAAGGGATATCTCAGTGGTACAACATCATGATCTTTCTGTGGTTTTAGTTTTTCCTTGAATTTGGGTGCCTTTCTGTTTGAAGTCCTGTACCTCATCTCTAGCCCCTACTCTTATAGTTATGGTTGAAATATAATGTATTGAATTAAAGATAAAGACCCAGTAATAGCTTTTAAGTTTGTCTTGGCTTAGCCATTTGCTTGCCATGTAAACAGGGTTATGCAACCTCTTCTTTTAATTTATCTTGATAATAGATTTTTTATATATGCAATCTTTCCTGACTGAAATCCTTTTTTTTTTTTTAAGTAGCAGCTTTGCCAGTAAAGTAGTAGAAACTAGTGTCTGGCAAATTTAAAATGAATTTTAGTTTTATAGCTTATGAAATATGAAAACAATTAAGGGTTGGAGTGTTTTTCTAAGTTTCTCTATAATTTTTAAACTTCAAACTTCAGTGCAGTGATATTCAAAGTGGTCCCTAATTTTTTTAGGTACTCTAGATGATAATACTGGCTAGTATCTAATAATATTTACATTAATAATTTACTTTTTATTTTAACATAAATTAATAATTTCATTATGATATCCTTCAAGTTTTTTCAAAAGAAATGCCATTATTAAAGCAAATTATAGAGAGTTTGTGTTGGTTTCTTTGTTCATTTGTTTTGACATTAGCAAAAGAATGTCATTATGGCCTTATGGTGACATAGGATTTACCAAGACCATCATCCATGGGGTCCAAGCTCTGGATTACTCAACTCCACTAATCTGCGAAAGGTTAACCCTAACCCTAACCCTAACTCCAACTCCACCTCGCGGTGGAGTTGGTCTGTTATCTGGAGGTCAGCCTGACTTACTTCTGAGTGGTTTACAACCAGGCTGGCCACAGTGTCATGGATTGTTTTACTGCAGCAATTTTTGAGGAATCTCTTCTAAGTTATAGAGTTTTTGATATCTGTCGGTAGAGGGAGTAGCCACACCAGTGGAATGACAGATTCTTGAAGTATTGAAGTAAGCAGGCAGGTAGAGGAAGTGATTCATATTCTGCTACCAACGTGGTTTGTAGACTTTAAGGCTTGAGAAATGCTGTGGCTGATGGTATAAAGCAGAGAACTGAAACTTATTTAATTCATTCTGTAAACTTGTAATGTTTTTTTCATTTAAAATTATAGCATATAACATTAGATAAACAGAATGGCTGTCTATTCCATGTGAGAAATGTGTGATAATTGCTGTAGCAAAAATTACATTTTATTAATGCCATCAGTTTTCTACATGAATCTTAAGTCCTACTTTGTACAAAGAATGGAATTTGTTGTTGACATTAGCAGGAATGACTTTTGTAGCATTTGAACTTTTTCTTGACTTTTCCAAATTAAGTTGCTGTATCTATCAGCTGAAATTCCTGATTTTGTTTTACCTGGTCTGACACTACTTTGTATTTTCTCTACAGAATTCTTGCTTTTGTTTGTCTTTATTTTTCTTGATCTCTGTTGAGCCATTCTTCATATGGCTTTCTCCTGGGCTCAGGTTTTTTATCTTTGCCAGTTATCATGAAAATAGTAAGGAGTAAATGACAACTTAAGCACTAGTTAATTTGTAAATTAATTTTTAAGAAAAGAGCAAGGTCCTTAGTGTCCTAGCTTACTTATGCAAAACATATACTGTAGATTTTTGGCAAGGTAGAATGCTTTTGCTTTGCAGTGGAAAACTTTGTATAGCAGTTGCCAAATAATTTTACAGTTTAGTTTAAATGCTTGCTAAGGTAGTTAAGAACCCAATTTCAGTTGCAGCTGAAATTTCTAAAAAATGTCTTACTCTAACAGCCTTTTGCAGGACTTTTGGGAAAGTTTTTTTATTCTTCTTTTTAGCCATTTTAATTCTAGTGTATAAAGACTAGTTTTGCTGAGAAGTACTTTAGGTATCAAAAGGAGCAGAGAACAGAGATAGAATGAAATTTTAAAAATTAAAGAGATAAAAGGTTAAATTTTAAGGAAGAGAAATGGACAAAATAACTATAGCAGTGTTGTTGAAAAACAAAATATTCCCCAGACTTTTACATAGTTAAATGCAGAAATTTATTGAGCTTTTAAATAAAATTAAGATTTTTCAGCTTTTGTTGTTAAATAGTTTTCTAAGTAGTTCTGTGTTTGTGGGAAGAAAGCCTAACGGTGATGACATGAGAGATGTCACAAGTAGGCAAATAACAAATGGATAAGTGTGCTAGCTGTTAGCATTTCTGAAGTAGGTTCTGTGGGAAAATGTGCTTCTATTCACTTTTGTTTTATTCTTTTCTTGTCTCTCTGATGAAACAGCCAGACCAAATCAGTTTGGAATGCCTGGGATAGTGCCACCGTACGTTCCCCCTCAGATGCTTAACATTCCACAGACCTCTATACAAGCAAAACCTGTTGTAAGTATGCTTTTAATTCTGTTAATGACTTCTGTTGGCAGTTCTTAGGAGTATGTATATGTTGAGATTCAAATATATGCAGAAATAATTTCTCAAAGTCTTCTTAAACTGCACACTTGGAAAAGAATAGACTATCATTTTTGTAGTGTTGAAAATCAACTAAAAATTCTTTCACAGGATAAAACAATGTGTTACTGGAATCTGACAGCATCCATTTATTTTTTTATTACCTGTATTTAAAAGAGACCATTTTGTTCTAGGCCCAGCAGATGTCTAGCCCAGGTGGTGCTCCAGGTCAGGGTCCATACCCGTATAGTCTCTCTGAGCCGGCTATCACCTTGGAAACAAGTGGAAAAAATTTGTCTGAGCAGAACAACTATAGTAACATTCCTCATGAAGGAAAACATACTCCATTGTATGAGCGATCCTCTCCAATAAATCCAGCTCAGAGTGGCAGCCCTAACCATGTGGATTCAGCCTATTTTCCTCCCTCTTCGACATCATCATCATCTGATAATGATGAAGGCAATGGAGGAGCTACAAAGTAAGTAATGAGTTAAATGTATGTTTTTTTCACCCTTGTGTTATTTAGGTATATGATCCCTTTAAATTTGCTTAAACCAGCAGGAAGCGTTTGTATCCAAAATATCCCGGCTATTAGACATAGTGGTTTTGATTAAAGATCTAATTACAAGGATTAATAATATATGTTTGATAAGATAATATATGTTTGATACATGAACATTGAATCCATGGGTGTGGAATGGAACAATTAATCCGTACTGTTTATAAAATCAGTTCTTAAAGTTCTATAGTTGGACATAACGTGATTTTGGCCAGTGCTTCCTAAAGGAAACTAGATTATGCACTACAGGAAGAGGAACTCTAATTATGGGGAGTTGGACTAGATTCTGTCAGGCTTTGGAGGGACACAAATGGAGAATCAGAGGAAGTCAGAGTTAAAAGGCCTGTCTAACTCATAACTAAACAAAAATCCCTTCCATAACTTGTCTTTAAAAATGATCATCCAGTCATTTTTGAAGATTTCTTTGTCTAGCGCTTCACCCTTCTAGGGAATGCCACTTTTTCATTATGTCAAACCTAAATGTGCCTCATTGACAGCCTCCCCCCATTACTTTTGGTTTTGCCCTCTAAGACAAGCCGAATAAGACAAATTCTTTTTTCCATGTAAGAGCCTTTCAAATATTTATAGGATTGGCACAGTGTCTGGCACATAGTAGTTACTTAATAAATACTTATCAAGTTGAATTGACTGTTATTAAAGACAGCTGTCATGCCCTCCTTAAATATCCTCTAGAAAGAAAATTCTTATTTCGTTCAGCTAATACTCATATGACAAGAGTGTGAGGCCTTTCCCAGAGATCATGCCTCTTGGAGGAACCTTCCATCTTTGGACCCCACTCTTCCAACTGATGATTGCCTTTACTAGAAATGCTACATTATTTCAGGAAAACCCTACCTATGTTTTCCTATATTTCCTCCAGTGCACCCATCTCTCCAGTAGCTTCTTCTCACCAGCCACTACTTTGCCAAGTGTATACCCCTTCCTCCTCCTTTTTCTTCCTGTCCCATCCAGTTCTGGAACCATGAATGAACCCTTATCATTATTTTTGGATGGGATGTGACCCTATCATAACTCCCAGACCGAAATGCCCCTCCTGGCCATCATTTCCCTGAGTATATTGTTTCCACACTTTAGAATGCAAATTCCTTGAGGAACTGTCTCTGCTCTTTTTATTTGTATCTCCAGTGCTTAGTAAATAATAACTGCTTTATAAATGTTTTTTTCATTCATTCATCCTGGATGCTTTTCAGCTTATCAGTGTATTTCTTAAAGTGTGATACCTAAAGCTGAATATGATATTTCGGGTATGGTCTAACCAGAGTGGGATTGTTACTTCCCCACTCCTGGACCCTTACTGCACTGTAAGATGGCTTTAGCATTTCTCAGTACCATATTACACTATTGACTCTGAGCTTTCTGGCCATTTAAGAACTATTTTACAATTTGCTCAGATTTTTATTTTGTGTATTGTTCCAATCCTTTGTTTGGGGTCCACAAAACATGTCAACTGTTCTTTTATGGTGAAAGAGTATTGGAGTACTGACAAGTTAGCTGTCATCTTTTATTTAGTAATTTTGGTGTGTAGTTGCTAGGAAAGTATTTCATGAAAATATAGATCTCTAGCTTTTTATCCCTGAGGTGGTAGGAATTTGATCACAGAAGGAAGGGTTCCACACAGACTAAAATGTTCAGAGCATTTTCTGTTCTGACAAAGCACTGAACATAAAGTAAGTGAACGATGAGTGGGAAATAGCTTAAGAAAGAATTTATTAAGTGCCTACTTTGTGCCAGGCTTTGTTCTAGGTGTTGGTAAAACAGAAATTAATTAGTCATTGCCCTAAAGGAGCTTACATTCTACAGAATAAGACAACATGTGCACACCTAAGTATGAAATAAATATAAAGTAACTTTTGGAAGAGTAGCTGGTTTGATCAAGAAAGAACTAACATGGTATATGGCATTTGATATAAGTTTTAAAGTGAAGTAGGAATTCTGAGAGGAACTATCACCCAGGCGTAGGGTGATAGTTCAGACAAAGGCACTAAGAGAAGGTATGTTACTTATGAGGGACGGAAGCAGACTGTTTTGGCTAGACTGAAGAGTGCATGAAGAGAGTAATGTATTAAGGCTAGAAAGATTGGATTGAACCTGATTGTAAAATGCTTTAAATGCTAAACAGAAGATTCACCCTTATGTTTTTTTTCTTCCACTTAATAGTATTTTATTTTTTCCATTTACATGTAAAGATAGTTTCCAACATTCACTTTTGTAAGATTTTTGAGTTCTAAATTTTTCTTCCTCTCTCCATCTCCTTTCCCCTCCCAAGACAACAGGCAGTCAGATATAGGTTATACATGTACAATCATGTTAAACATATTTCCACATTAGTCATGTTATGAAAGAACAATCGGAACAAAAGGGAAAAACTATGAGAAAGAGAAAACAAAAAAAAAGTAAAAATAATATGCTTCAATCTACATTCAGACTCCATAGTTCTTTCTCTAGATGTGGATAGCATTTTCCACCATAGATCTTTTGGAATTATCTTGGATCATTGTATCGCTGAGAAGAGTTAATTCTGTCATACATCATCTCACAATTTTGCTGTTACTGTCTACAGTGTTCTCCTGGTTCTACTCATTTCACTCAGCATCAGTTCATTTAAGTCTTTCCAGGTTTTTTGAAATCTATCTGCTCATCATTTCTTAAAGCACAATAGTATTCCATTACATTTGTATACCACCGCTTGTTCCACCATTCCCCAGCTAATGGGCTTCCCCTCAATTTCTAATTCTTTGCCACCACAAAAAGAACTGCTATCAATATTTTTGTACATGTGGGTCCTTTTCCATTTTTTATGACCTCTTTGGGATACAGAGCCGTAGTGGTATTGCTGGGTCAAAGGGTACGCACAGTTTGATTGCTTTTGGGCATAGTTCCAAATTGCTCTCCAGAATAGTTGGATCAGTTCACAGCTCCATCAGCAATGCATTAGTGTTCCAGTTTTCCCACGTCTTCTGTGGTATTTTTCATTTGCTTTTTCTGTCATGTTAGCCAATCTGATAGATGTGAGGTGGTACCTCAGAGTTGTTTTAATTTGCATTTCTCTAATTAATAATAATGTAGAGCATTTTTATATGACTATAGATAGCTTTGATTTTTTTTAGCTGAAAACTGCCTGTTTATATCCTTTGACCATTTAGCAGTTGGGGAATGACTTGTAGTTTTATAAATTTGACTCAGTTCTCTATAATATTTGAGAAATGTGACATTCCCAGCTTTCTGCTTTCCTTCTAATCTTGGTTGTATTGGTTTTTTTACTGCAAAACCTTTTTAATTTAGTGTAATCAAAATTATTCATTTTGCATTTCATAATGTTCTCTATCTCTTTTTTAGTCATAAAAATTCTTCCCTTCTCCATAGATCTGACAAGTAAACTGTTCCTTGCTGTCCTCATTTGCTTATGGTATCACTCTTTATGTTTAAACATGGACCTATTTTGACCTTATCTTGGTATATGGTATAAGAAGTTGTTCTATGTTTAGTTTCTGTCATACTGTTTTCCAGTTTTCCCAGCAGTTTTTTGTGAAATAGTGAGTGTCTTTGTTTTTGGAGGAATTTTTACTGACTCTCTCTCTATGCCTAGAATCTTCTCCCTCCTCATTTCTACATTTTGACCTCCCTGAATTCCTTCAAGTCTTAGCTAAAATCCCATCTTCTACAGGAAGCCTTTCCCAATCCCTCCTAATTCTAGTGCCTTCCTTCAGTTGATTGTTTCTAATTTATTTTGTGTGTAGCTTGACTGAACATAGATGTTTACATGTTGTCTGCACCATCATTTTGTGGATTCTTTGAGGTTAGGGACTGCCTTTTACCCTTCTGTATATCCCTAGCACTTAGCACTATGCCTGGCGTTTACTAGGTGCTTAATAAATATTTATGGACTCTCTGATTGGACATCAAGCCTCCATGATGGCCCCTTTCTCCCATTGGTGAGTGCTTCCTTGTATCTCCATTTGGGTGAAGGATCCAGATTTAAATATTGTACTTCTGCAGATAGGTGCTTTCCTTCTCACCTGTCTTCTCCCACATCTCTTTTCGGGTCCCTTTTGTGTGTTGTATTCCATCATTATAATGTAGGCTCTTTGAAGGAACCTGTCCTTCCCCTTTTGTATTTGTGTCCCCAGCACTTAGTAGAGTACTTAGCATGTACTAAGGATTTAATAAATGTTTCTTGCTTTGCCTGCCTTTCTATCCCATCTCTAAAAATGTTCAGGCATATACCCCCAGTATTTGTTTATTTATAAATTATAGATATGTAATATTGCATGAATATATACATTAAAAAATAATAGAAATAAGAAGGATCCAATATTGAAATAATTAAAATTTTTAATAATAGTATTAAAACCTCTTGTTGAATTATTAAATACTAATGATTTTTGTTATGTGATTTAATATGCTTTTAAAATATATTTTATGAATATCTTTTAAACATCACCAGAATTTCTCCCACTATTTTTTCTTTCTCATTCCTCCTATATAACGAGCAATATTTTTTGAAGAAACAGAGTAAGAAGAGAGGGGGAAAAAACATCAAGACCAAAAGTCTGAAAATAGTGTTCCAGATCTATGGCCCCTCTGCTTTGGGACAATGTGTTTTATTTGTAATTTTATGCTATTCACATTTGATTGTTTTGTGGTTGCTCTTTCCTTTTACATTCTTGTAGTCATTGTGTATATTGTTTACTTGGCTTTACTTGCTTCATTCTTCATCATTCTCAGTATTTATAATTAATTATTTCTTACAACATAGTAATATTCTTTTACATGCGTGTTCCACATTTTTTAACCTTTTTCCAATCAATGGACATCTACTTTGTTTCCAATATATTGCTTTCAAAAAAGTGTTGCTAAAAATATTTTTGTGTGTGTAGGAGCAACCCTCTTGACTCATAAGTCTAACGGTGTTCATGTTATATTGTCTTCAGGGAGTCTTGAGTTTCTTGGCAGAAATCTTTCTAAGTCACTTGTACTTTTTTTTTAGTTAGTTTAGTTAAAAGAAGATAATGTAATAATCCATTAATATGTTGTAGTATACTGAAAGCAAACATACGAAAGTGAGGTGCCACTATCAACTCCCTGATGTGGAACTCCTACACTTAGTCCCCAAGATAAACACTCACATAACTTGTATGGCTTAACCATCTGACACATGAATGTAGGAAGGGTGCTAATATCATTCTGTCTATTAAATAAGTCACCCTCTTTTTATTATTTTAGGTTAAAAAAATATGAATAAAAGTTCTATATTTTCTCACTACTTCCTAGTATACTTTGAAGGGTACTCCAATAGGCAGTTGGTGAAGTGACAGATGATTTCTATTAATTAATGCAAAGTGAAGGAAACAGAATCAAGAAAACAGTTCACAATGACTACAACCATATAAATGAAAAGAATAACAATAGAAGACAAAACAAGTGAATGTTTTGTATTTATGTAAGTCAATCTTGGAACCAGAGAAGAGAGAAGAAAGCATACTTAACTCCCTTGGTTTAAGAATGTAACATGTGCTGTCACACTTGGTTTAGTGAAACTCCTTTTTTTTTCCTTCCCTCTTTCATTTTTATCCTTTGTTAAAAGGAATGAACTACTAGGTCTGTATCCCAAAAGGGATAAAAAAAAAAAGGCAAAAAGAAAAAGGACCTAAATGTATAAAAAATATTTATAGCACCTCTTTTCTTGTGGCAAAGAATTGGAAATTGAGGGGATGCCCATCAATTCGGGAATGGCTGAACAAGTTGTGGTATGTGATTATGATGGAATACTATTGTACTATAGGAAATGACGAGCAGGATGCTCTCAAAAAAACCTGGAAAGACTTGCACGGGCTGATGAAATGTGAAATGTACTGTGTACAAAATAACAGCAATATTGTAAGATGGTCAGCTGTGAATGACTTAGCTGTTCTCAGCAATACCGTGATCTAAGACAACTGTGAAGGTCTTATGATAAAAATTGCTATCTGTCTATCCCCAGAGAAAGGACTAATGATATTTGCATACAGATTGAAGCAAACTTTTTTTTTTACTTTCTTCATTTTTCTTGAGTTTTTTTTCCCTAGTCTATGTTTTCTTTCACAATATCAAGACTGTTATGGATATGTTTTGCATGACTACACACGTATGACCTAAATTGAACTCCTTGCCTTCTCAGTGTTGGGGAGTGGAGGAAGAAAGCAAGGAAGAGAATTTGGAGCTCAGAGTTTTATAAACAAATGTTAAAAATTATTTTTACATGTAACTGGGGGGAAATTAATTAATTTAAATTAATTTAAAAAACAAATGGGAGGAGGGAAAGCTATGTAGGGAAATCAAGGTGGTGTAAAAGCAAAAAGCAATACAAATTAAAAAAAAACCTAAAGGAGACCATAGTTGACCTAGTTTTATCCCTTCATTTTACATGTGTACCAAGGTTTGAATGACTTTTTGAATGCAGCTTGTTTTGTTAGTAATGACTGAGCATGGTCCCTTCTAACTCTGCTTATATGATCCTAGGCAAAAGCAAATCCACATCTCCCAGCTTCCCACTGCACTGTTCTTTCCACTATACCGTCTTGCAGGATTTCAGATGAAAGCTTTCTACTCTGTTACTAGGCCAAGTTTAGGCAAATGAAAATAATATTATTGCTTGTTTTCAAAATAGAGCATTTTTTAGTGGAAAGAATTTTTGCTTTTTTAATATTTATGAATTGCCATTAAAAATCAATTCTGATGTCTGCTTACCTATGTTATCTTGCACTTTACACATTTTGTGTACTATGCTTAGGTCAATGGAAGCTATTACTCATTCTTCTTGTACTCATTTTTCTTAGATTTGTTTCTTTTTCTTAATTCTTGTCATTTTTGAAGGAACATATCTTAGAAAAGAAACTCCTACAGTACTGTAGGTCTTTTTGCCAAACTACTGTGTCTAATTTTACTTTCTTGCTGAAAATTTTTCTTTAAAAAAGTTTTTTTTAATGTTTACTTTCAATTTTAATTTCTTTCCCTCCATTTACTCTCCCCCCCACTCAATTGAGAAGGCAAAAAACATGATTCCCATCATACATGTGAAATAATGTAAAACATATTACCATATTAGCCATTGAGGGGTGGGGCCCGAAAAATAAAGAGAAAAAAAATAAACTTCAATTTTCACTCAGAGTTTACCAGTTCTTTATCTGGAGGTGGGATAGAATTTTTCATCATGAGACTTTTGGAATATATTGATTAGCATTGCTAAGTCTTTCACAATTGATTACTGTTACAATACTGCTATTGCTGTGTGCATTGTTCTCTTGATTTTGCTCACTTTACTTTGTATATCAGTTCATATAAGTCTTCCCAGGTTTTTTTGAAACCAACCCCTTCATTATTTCTTACAACACAATGATATTCCATCTTATTCCCATAATATAACTTGTTCGGCCATTCCCTAGTTGATAGGCATCCCCTCAGTTAGCAATTCTTTGCCATCACAAAAAGAGCTGCTGTTATAATTATTTCTGTGCATGTAGATCCTTTCCCCTTTTCTTTGGACTCTGGGATGCAGACCTAATAGTGGTATTGCTAGTCAAAGAGTATGTTCATTTGAATAGCCCTTTGGGTATAATTCTAAGTTGTTTTCCAGAATGGACCAGTTTACAACTCTACCATCAGTGCATTAGTGTACCTATTTTCCCACATCCCCTCCAGCATTTGTCATTTTCTTTTTCTTATCATCTTAGCCATTCTGATGGCTGTGAGGGGATGCCTAAGTTGTTTTAATTCCTATTTTCTAATAGTGATTTAGAGCTGGGGTTTTTTTTATTTGACTTGATCACTTTGATTTCTTCTTCTGAAAACTGTCTGTTCATATCCTTTGACCATTTATCAATTGAGGAACGGCTCTTATTTTAATAAATTTGGTTCAGTTCTCTATAATATTTGAGAAATGTGACATTTATCAGAAAAACTTGCTATAAAATATTTTTCCAGTTTCTTGCTTTCTTTCTAATTTCGGTTATAATGGTTTTGTGCAAAAACTTTTTAAAATTTATGTAATCAAAATTATGCATTTTATGATTTGTAATCCTCTCTCTGTTAGTTGGTCATACACTCATCCCTATCTGTAAATACAAGAAGTACTTTTTTCTGTGCTCCCCTAATTTGCTTATGATATCCCCCTTTATGTCTAAATCATGTACCCATTTTGACCTTATCTTGGTATATGGAGTAAAGCGTTGATCTATGCCGAGTTTCTGCCATACTGCTTTCCAGTTTTCCTAGCAATTTTTGTCAAATAGTGAGTTCTTGGACTTAGAGCTTTCTCAAACACTAGGTTACTATATTCCAACAAAATTTTTGACAAATGTAAAAGTAGACTTTATGAATTCTTCATTAATATCCATCTCAAATTTTAGTTTTGTTCTCTTTCTCCCTTCCTCTTTCTCTTTCTCTCTCCCTTTCACCCCACCCACTCTACTCCCACTTCTGCCTGCTTCCTTTCCTTTTCCAACTATGACAAAGAAAAATTGCTCAAGTGTGTTGAGAGTGCTTTGTAGCCAAGGAGTTACTCCTGTTCAATGACAGCCAAGTGAGCAGTAAACTGAGAGGAGAGGTGCCTTTCTGCAAACAGGTGTTTTTTTCTCTAAACCTTTTGTTTGAATGTCTTCCTGCTTTTTTTTCCCTGCTTATGTTGGCCTTTCTAGAAGACATACCTGAGGCTCCTTTTCCTCCACGGTCGCACATGTAACTCCAGCCCACATCACTGCCCCTTCTTTGAATTACCACAGCATTTATTATCTTTTAGCACTTAATCACAGTTCCTTTTGTTTTTATTAAATGCTTCATAATTGTATCTTGATGGCGTAGTGAAAATACAAACTATATTTGCTATTCTGCACAGCTATTACTGCACCACTAGTCATTTATAGGTACTTAATAAATATTTATTGAATTAGAAATTATAAATGTTCAGTATTCCCTTTTAAGCCTAGCAGCAAAGATGTGATGTTGGTAGTTTTTACATTAATTTTACTGAGTTAATTATCTATTCTTAAAACAGCAAGGTGCTGTTACTATGGATTCATAGGTGAAATCATGTGAGATTTTTGCTATAATAAACTCTTTGTTATAAAGAGATTTGACCTGTAATCTTCCTTTTGTATTCAGCCATGTCAGTGGGAACAAAGTTGGCTGGGAAAAGACAGGAAACCAGTCAGAAACTCAAGCACGTGGAGATCCAGGAGACCAAACAAAGGTAGCATATGTAGATTTTTTTTTCCTTTAAATATAAAAGTTCTTAAACTTTCAAAGCATATGAATGTATATGTGTAATTAGTTTAACAGGGGAACTTTCCCATAGTAATATTAAAACTCAGGGCATTTTTATTATCTCTTCTGACTTCTTACTTTTCATATTCCAGTCAATTACCAAGTCCATCGGAGTGCCTTCTGCAATATCTTGTACCCCTTCACCCTCCTTTCTTTTTTCTTCACTTGACCCTAGTACTGGCCCTCATTGTCACACACATCTCTTCTTTTCCCTTTGAACGTTATCTTTTATTTCACTACCAGAAGAATAATTCATTACTTGTGCTGAAATGGTAATGTTATGAATAAGACCATTGGATTTGGAATCAGAGGTTCAGATCCTTGGCTGTGCCACTTTTACTGCCTGTGTGACCTTGGGTAAATCATTTAATTCCTCTGGGCCTTAATTTCCTTGTTGCTAGACTCTATTTTCTCTTAAGTACTACTCTTTGAACCTTTCCTCTTCAGTGACTCCCTATTGCCACCCTACTTTTTCAACAGTTATTTCATATTGTTACTCTCCACATTCTAGCCAGATTGGGGTACTCTTACATTTACCATGTACCTTCCACCTTGACTCAGATTGTTCCCTGTACCTGGAATGCCGTAATTGGTTCTTCCCCTTTTCACTTCTTGAACACCTTAGTCATTCTTTAAAAGTGCAACTAAAATGTCTTGTGCAAGTAGCTTTCCTGATCCAGTAGCTAACAGCTCCTTTCCTTTGGATCTCACCTAGCATCTTATTTCACAATATTCTGATGTATTTAAAATGAACTATATTATGATTATCTGCATTTGTATCTTTTCCCACTAGTAAGCTAAAAGCTACACAAGATTAAAGATCAAGTCTTGTCTGAACTTTGCATCATCTCCAGATCCTACCATAGTGGCATGCAAACATAAGGTAGCTTAAAATTAGGTATACTTCATCAACTCAGTTCTACCTGATTTTACTCCTGACCAGAGGCTAAGCCACAAGATTTGCCAGAACAGTGCCTATTTACTTTCACATAGAAATTTTGAAATGCAGAACAAAAAAAAAGTTTGAAATAAGTAGATTACAAAGATGGCACAGTTGTAGAGCACAGAACAATGCATTTGGAGTCTGAAGACCAGAATACAAATACTGGTTCTGCTACTTAGGATATTCATGATCTTGAACAAGTCACTCAGTTTAGAACCTCACTTTTAATCCCATGATTTGAAGAAGAATACAAACCTGTATGAAATAGTTGCTTATTACCTTGTACTTAAAAATTGTACTTTCCAAAACATTTTAACATTAATATTTTATTTTTGCATTACCCTTATGGCAATAGGATAGTCTCCCATTTTAAATACAAATAATCTTGTTATTCTTCTGAGTTCATCATTCATCACAAACTAACTGTCTGCTGCATATTTCCACCTGGATGATCTTGTAGGACTCAAAAACTCAACATGTGCAAAACAGAACTCATTATGTTTCTCTTCCTGAGCCTTTCTCATCTCCAAATTTTCCCTTTATTGTTAAGGTTATCATCTTTTTTCCCCAGAGACCCAGGTATACAACCTGTGAGTCCTCTTTGATTTTTTTTGTCTGGTTTGCTGTCCCATAAGTTGCCAACTCTGATAATTCTGCCTCCATAAGACCTTATATATATCTGTTCCCTTTTTGCTGCTTACTTGGTCACCACCTCATTCTAGGCCCTCATCCCTTCTCACCTGGATTATTAAAATAGCTGTCTAATTGGTCTCCCTGCTTCTTTTTTCCCCTTTCCATTATATCCTCCATGAAGGTGCCAAAATAATCTTCCTAAAGTACAGGTCTGACCATATAACTCCCCTGCTCTGTAATCATTAGTAACTCCCAGTTACCTGTAAGATAAAGCACAGACTCCTCAACCCTCCATTTAAAGCCCCATACCTTACAACCTGGCACTAACTACCTTTCCACCCTAATTTCACATTAATCTTCTACATGCTCTTCATATTGCAGCCAAATTAACCATCTTGCTGTTACCCATCCATGACATTCCATTTCTTTTATCTTTGCCTTTACACAGACTGTTTCCCATTTGTAATTCTTCCCTCACCCTCGACCTTAAAATGATGAGTTTCAGGCCTTAGCTCAAGTGCCACTACCTATTGAAGGCAGCCTCTCCTTTATCCTCCTAGTTGATAGTACTCTCTACTTCAGTGATCTTGTAATGACTCATCTCTGTACATGTCCTCTTCACAGTAAAATGGAAACACCTGAAGGTCAGAGATGATGATGATTATTTTTTTTTTTGCTTTTCGTCTTTGTATTCTAAGTGCCTTGCGCATAGTAGCCATGAAATAGAGACATTCCATTAAATTGTACAAGTAAGTCACAGACAACACAAATAAGTTGTTCAGTATTAGTTCTGACTTAACCTTTTTAGCCTTTGTTTTAAAAAGAGGAAATTAAGTTCATGATGTTCTACTTATGTTTTGCAAGCTTATTAGAATTGCATGGAATCTTATGGTGTGCTTTACCCTGGGGTGTGTGTGTGTGTGTTTCTCAAAAGAATATACATGCCCCCACATTATAATTCCACATTTACCCCCCAAGTTTTTAACTATGGATCTATTTCCTGTATACCATAATTTTCTTTGTTGCAAATCCCATTGATTGTCTCCACATCAAGACATTTCGGAGGTAACTAAGAGAAGGAACTCACTGCAGAAAGAGCATTACATTGGCACCTGGATTCCCACCCTGGCTCTCTTCCATTCTCTCACTTTGTGACAGCAGATGAGTCACATTACTTCTGACTCTCTTTACTCATCTATAAAACGAGTTGATTGAACTTGATAATTTTTAAATTACCTGCTAGTCTAAGTGGTATGATGTTAAATCAATTTTTCCTCTTCTCTGTTATAGGCAGAAGGTTCTTCTACTGCCTCTTCAGGAAGCCAGATAACTGAAGGGAAAGGGAACCAAGCCAACACTGCACAAATCCCCTGCCTTTTGTCAATGCCCACCAGGAACCACATGGATATTACCACACCTCCATTACCTCCTGTTGCACCAGAAGTATTGAGAGTAGCAGAGCACAGGCACAAGAAGGGGTTAATGTATCCCTACATCTTTCATATTCTTACAAAGGTATTATCTAAGATGTCACTAGTATTACTGGGTTTATAGATGGTAATCTCTCTCTTTTTTTTTTTACAAAGTATTACTCTGCCTTTACAAAGTGTATTCTGAAAATAATTTCACTATATCACAAATTTCATTTTGTCTGAAGCAGGAATGGAATATATCAAATTGTACAAAAGCTTTTCCCTATTTAACCACCATTAAAGGCACTAAGATAGTCTATTTACTTGTTGTAGGAATGGTTACTTCATTATAGACATCAGAATTGTTTTTTCTTCAATTTAACTTAAATCTATTTTCAAATTTTCTTCTACTTAAATGGCACCATATCACCTAAATAATTTTTGGATTCCTTATTTTTTCCATTTTGATTTTACGTTAAAAATTTTTTCTCTATATATTTCAATTTCAGGTTTCATTCTAATTTTAGATACAATCTCTAACATGTACAACTTAATGTCTGCCTTTTGAGTGGCTAATGCGTTCTGTATTTTGACATGTTCATCTAATTGAAGACGTTTTGTAATGATTAAATATAAAAAATGTAATGCAGGATGTTAATTGCTGAATGTGCATAAAATCAGATAATACAAGGATCTTTTTCACAGAAATGTACTTTAATTTTTTAAGTATCTTTCTAAGTGTATACCTACATATATGTTATATTGGAATAAGTTTAGGAAATCTATTTTCTTTTTCAGTTCTAAGCTTTATGTGCAATTAATTTTTATACCGATTTCCAAGTTAATTTTCTTTATGCGATAGTCTTAGGCCTTACCTTACAGTATAGGGAAAAATGGAATTCTTCTGATCAATCAGTTCGTTGCTTAACATGTATTTTTAAAAAATTGTTCCATAGGAGCGCTGCTTTTATTTGTGCAGGGAGTACCTCTCAGTCAAAAGTTTCTTTTCTGTCTAAATGTAATTCTATTTGAAATTTGTAGACAGCACTTGATTGGTATTGAAAAAAACCATACACACAAACACTAAATTCCATAGAACTTTTGAGATGGATTTATTTTGATAGGGAATATTAACTGATTAGCCCCAGTCCTACTTAGTTTTATAAATTAGAAGAAATCAGGAGTGTTCAATCTATTACTGTTTATCCAGGTCCTTCTATTTATTCCTTTAATTGTAACTGCTTCTGATTATACTGCATTATTGGATTAAGATGTATGTGTACAGCATCACTTTTAGTTTATCATATTTTGGGGATGGAAAAGCTTTTGAACTTGAACAGAAGTTGAAGTGGATAAGTGGAAAATGATCTTTGTAGGAAAGGGGTTTTTAATACATTTAGAGAACCAACCAACTTCTTTAGACACTGCAGACTCTCCCCTCTGTGTTCTTCCAGATGTATGTTCTTTGAAATCATCTGTTTGTATCAGAATGCTCAAATCTACACATTGATGGATATACTACTCGATTTATGTATAACTGTTAAAATCCAAAAGAAAACCGTACAATATTGCATGCATCTGCATTTCACTAATACTCATTTTCATAATTATTTTAAAGACAAACATTTATAAATTATGAAATACTACTATGTTTGTCATCAAGACAACTTATTTATTTATTCAAGCTTGCGGTTTAAAAGTAAAGGCATTCTTGAATGCTAAATGTATTTAGGAAAACAAAAATCAGAAAATGTGTAGTAAGTTGAATCTTTCTTTGTCTAAATTGACTTGGACAAGACATTTTCAGTGAGATAATACTTGAAACATTTCTAGAAAGGTATTTTTCTGTTGAAAAACTTCTGTTACGAGAAAAACATGTTGAAGATGTTGTCTGTATCTGACAACATGAAACAGATAGTTTCCTAAAGAGTTTTTAAAGCAGAATAATACAAGTATAGTAAATTATATAACTCTTAAGGGGAGTGTTAGAACATTGTACCTAACCAGGGACAAATAATGATACTGTTACTAATAATATCATCTTAATCATGTATCAGTATAGTATCGGTAATAGTATGTAGTAACATTATACTACATATAATATTTTAGTAATAGTATCAGTATAGATACTAATAGTAATCTTAATCATGAAACCACATATAGAATTAGAATCAACTGATAGTTTAATGTGATATGTATGATTGATTTATGGTGTCAAATTGTATTTGGAAAGACCAATCTAGCATTGCTAGATGGTGTCTCTTCAGTAATTTTAACTAAGATAGTTTGTTTTTATGTTGTGAATACAGAATTAATAAAAGCACTTGCAGGTAACCCAAGTCACAAAAATCCTAAAACATACCTCTCACTAAGATGTAAAATAGTCGGCCTATATAAGTGGCCATAAAGCTTTTCTGGAGCCCTCTTGGACATATTGTCTCTTAGCTAAAGAACATCTTGGAGTGGGGGTTGGGAAGGAAGGGGTGGTGATAGGGGGGAATGGAAAAATCAAGCCTGACCTTTGTGAGGTTGCAGCTAGTTGCCTTGGAATTCAGCAAGTATTTGTTGAGCGCTTACTATACCATGACAAAAGGATTAAAACGTTAAGATATAAATTAATGTCATTTCAAAAGTTTATTTTAGGTAAGTCACTTCTTAAGATAGAGTAACATGCAGAAGAGAGGAAGAAAAGTTTAGTCAGACTCTCATTTTCTTAATAAACGTGGAGTCTTTCCCTTGAGTTTCTAAGGCAGGCAATTTAGGATTACATATTAAGTAATATAAAGTTTATTACCTGTATTTTTATGCGATTATATATCTAACCTTTCAGGAAGTAGTTATATACATTCATTTAATTTTTCTTACCTGTTAAAATCACATAATCTTAGAGTGGGAAAGGACTACAGAGATAGATTATCTAGTCCAACCTCCTGTCCAGTGTAGGAGTCCCTCCTACAGCATCCTTAAAAGATCACTTATCTGATTAGATTGTTCCAAGCCATTACAAAGTGTTTTGAATCATTCAGAGTATTCCTAATTTGGGAATTAAAATAGTGAAAAATTTATTTTAAGCTCTGAAAACAGATTTTTGACTACAAACTGCTAAATGAACTCATACCAAGCACTTCAGTACTGGCTCATTTTAAGATGGCCATTTAATTTAGATTAGCATTGAAAAAAAATGTTTTAAAAGGGATTATACGGTATATTTCTGTAAGTTTTTTTTAATTCAACATGAAAAATGTGCAATATTATTCTGCTTTCTTCCATGCAAAGGGTGAAATCAAAATTGCTGTTTCTATTGAAGATGAAGCCAACAAAGACCTGCCTCCTGCTGCTCTGCTTTATAGGCCAGTTCGTCAGTATGTTTACGGAGTCCTGTTTAGTTTGGCAGAAAGCAGAAAGAAAACTGAAAGACTTGCTTTTAGAAAGAACAGACTTCCACCAGAATGTATGTACTGTAAAATCCATTGTTTGCTTTCTTCAGTACCTCATAATCTTTTGTGCATTTTCCAAAGGTTTAGAAGAGACATTATTCAAGTAGCTTTGAGGGCCTCATAAGTGTATCAAAGATGAAATTTCCATCTGGGCAGCAGGGCCAGATTTATGAGATTTTAAGGGGAAAAAAGTCAATCACTGATCTTTCTCTCATTATATTATCTTACTTTAGTAAAACAATCAAAGGTTAAGTTTTCATTTCATACTGAAAGTGGACATGAAAAATATGCTTCCTGACATGGTTTCCTTTCTGTAATTAGCATATGTTATTCCACAGTATGTGCTTAAGTGCATATGTTGTGGTTTTTAAAATTTTAAAGTTAAACTTTTTAAGACTTATTACATGTGTGAATTTCTAATATATTTACTGAAACTCATGAAAATTCTCTGGTGTCTTCTTTCTGCTTTAATTCAAGGTGCTCTTTTTTTAAAAAGATTTTATGAACCCATGGCATTTATGATGTGATTTTAATTGCATCATTAATAACATTGTTATCATAAATTTCACAAAGTCCACTTAAAATTTGTGTGCTGGTCAACAGATTAAATAAAATCATTTAGGAGAGACTAAAAAAATTCTGTTTGAAATGTTGATAAGTCATGAGTTGTTAACATTTTTTAATCCCTTAATTGCAACTATACAGGGGTTGAGTGGTGTTGCAAAAATACTACTCCCTCCTGGGAAATTTTATCTAGTAATAGGAAGAGATATTAAATGGATTATTATTCTGTGTAATATACAAAAAAAAAATTTCAAAATAAGGAAAAAAGACTACATATTTCTAGAGAAAAATGATGGTTACTTAACTTTAAAAATATGGTTTATTAAATAAAATATTAAATAAAATAATTAAAAATGATGGTTAATTAACTTTAAAATACCTGTGGTACATATCAAATAGTAAAAGTCAAATAGAAAAGGTACTGTGTTTCTAAAAAATTCTTCAGGTCTCTTATGAATGTAACTAATTCCAGGACTAAGGATAAGGATTTTTTTATTGGCTTTCATATTTAAACTTGGAGGCTACTTTTGAAATCTTCTAAACATTTTTATTCGTTACTCAGATATTCCATAGAGTAGTCATTTAAGTATGATTGTAACATAAGTTTTCTTCATTTTCTGTGACAAAACCACAATTCTATGAGCTTGTTATAAAGTTACTTGGCTAGCGCTGCCACTAGTTGAAAGTATATGACTAATGATTGCTGTTTTTGCGTGTGACTAGAAAGATGAGTCTTTGAATGATATGTACTTGGGGGTACATAATTATTGTACTTCTTGGTACCATAATAGAAAGATTCTTTTTAGTGCTTATAGTATATATTTAAATGTATAGACTGCCTTTTTTCCTGACAATGCCTCATATATTTGCTGCAAAAGATACTCTCTTTCTGAGTTACGTATAAACGCCATTAGTCTGCTGTTGTTTGTTACTAATCTTCCACTCTCCATTTCATTAGAAACTCTCTCTATCTTTTGCCTACCTGGACTCTGCTTAACACGTTTTCGCTTACCATACAGAAAGAAGTTGCTTAGATTTCCTTTTGGTATAGCTCTTGCTCGCGCGCGCGCTCTCTCTCTCTCTCTCTCTCTCTCTCTCTCTCTCTCTCCCTCCCCCCCCTCCCTCCCTCCTTCCCTCCCCCCTCTCTTTCCCTCCTTCTCTCCCTCTCCCTCCAAAGGTAATGCCAAAGAAATGGATTTGAAAATGGATCGATGTATTTAATAGGCATGATTTGAATGATACCTTTACTTTATTCCTTCAGTTTGACCTAACCTGTGTATTTTGCCACAATACTGTTAGTTTCTTACACTGACCTTTTAAGAGATTTCATTTCTTGTTTCTTTTCAAGTTAGTGTATTCATTCTCTAAGCAGAAATGCATTATGGTTTCCATTGGTGTGATGAATGCCAGCACAAGAACTAGTATGCCTCAGTATCTGTGTCCAAACCACTGCTCTGCCTACAGTAATATAGTCCTAATTGGTATTTGTGCTTTAAGAGTATAGCCCTTATTTTATAGCAACTACTTGAGGATGTTTTATGATCATAATCTGAGTTGAAAATGATTTTTACTTCCACTTGCCATGAATTCTAAACCAGTTTCAAGTCTCTTAATGCTTGTATAATCACAACTACATAAAATACAGATTGAATAAGACAACCTGTTTTACCACTGTAATTTATAATATTGATACTAGAGAATATGTGTTAGTTTAAGCACCATAAATTCTGCTATGATTGGCCATACTATTAGTATTGACATTTGAAATTTTTTAAGTTATCCAAGCCTATGGGCCTTTCAGAAGCAATAAAAAATATTTTTAATAAGGTTGATGAATACCATTTATCAGCTTTTGTCTTTTCTGACCTTTTGCTGCAACCAAACTTTTTCTTTTCTTTTCTTGAAGTTTGAAGTCACATTGGTTTACTGGGAGTACTCTGTTGGCATTATAATATGAAGGAAGAAAAGTGAATTTGAGTGAAAGCTACTAGGATTCCCTGGTTCTGAAATGTGTTAACATTTCCTTTTGTTTCCATATAAATATAACACACACACACACACACACACACACACACACACACACACACACACACACAGAGTTACAGAACTAGTTTATAATTTAGGTTAGGTTATGATTTTTCCCGTTCATAATTGAAAAAAATTTCAAAATTTGCTCAGCCATCCCCAATTAATAGGCATTCCCTCTATTTTCAATTACTTGCCACTGAAAAGGCTGCTACAAGTATTTTTGAACATGTGTCCTTTTCTTCTTTCTTTGATCATTTTTGGGTTTAGATTTAGAATTGGTATCCCTAGGTCAAAGGGTATATGCAGTTTAATAACTTTTTGGCCATAGTTTCAAATTACTTTCCAGGTATGGCTAGCCCAGTTCACAGCTGCATCAACAATACATTAATGCACCCATTTCCCCACGGCTCCTTCAATATTTATCATTTCCCCTTTTTGTCAGCTTTGAAAATCTGATAGGTATTAGGTGAGATCTCTTCAGTTCTTGCATTTCTTTAATTATTAATGATTTAAAGTGTTTTTCCCTGTGGCTATTGATAGCTTTGATTTTTCCCTCAGAAAACTTTGTTCTTATCCTTGAGTCATTTATCAGTTGGGGAATGGCTTTTATTTTTAAACATTTGAGTCAGTTCTCCATATATCTTAGAAATTAAACTCCTTTCAGAGAAACTCTCTGCAAAGATAGAGACCATTTGTTAAAACTAATATATAACATACTCAAGCTGGGCACCATTTCTTCCCCAGTCCTGTAGTTCCACACCTAGTCTCCATAGTCTTTTCAGAAAGATCATATCATATAGTTTTTGATAGCCTAAGATGTGTTGTTTTTCTGAGTTTGGTTATTTGAGCTTATTGAAACCAAGAGTTTAATAGTTTTACCTTTGTTTTCTATCCTTTTCTCTATTCTTTATTTTTCTTCTTCCTGTCTACCCCAAATCATGGTTCTAGCTCTCTTATCTTGATCTTGCCTCCAACATTGCTTAGAAAGGCATTATTTTGAATCTTTAAAATTTGTCCCAAACCATCACTTGTTTTGTGATTTAACATTTCTAAGGTTGTTTTTACACGACTTTTTCTTCTACAAATCTTCAATTTTTTACCTCTCTATTTAATGAATATTTTAAAAATATAAGTTAATCAGTGAGTTGACAGTTCTACCTTTCCTTATTTGAATCATTTGTGGTTTTATCATCAGTTTGTTTGTATTTAATTATTTTTCTAGCTGATTAGCTTTGTAGACTTTGGGATCATGTGGTGCTATCCAGTCTTTCCCTGAATTCATTGAAATCATATTATACAGATATTCAAAGCTGTCATTTTTCTTATCTTTTTCTTGTATCTGTGAAAGTGCCCAGGGTAGTGCCTTGCTTATAATAGACATTCAATAAATATTTGTTCTAGTTGCTTTTAAGGATTTTTTTTTACTTCTCATTCATAATTTTTATTGGTGTTATAAATTTTGGTTCTTTTATTTTTAAGAAAATAATGTATTTCAAGGGGAAGAATGTAAGTTAAAACTTTTTCACATTCAGGGGTCATTAAAAGCAGGTGTAATGGCTATCTTCGCACTGATGAAAGTAACAACCATGTTATTTGTATAGTGCCAGGAAAGTTTTTTTTCCCCCTTCTCCATATTGTGGAGAAACATAGGCATTTAATTTTAGGATGAAGAGTAATAATAGAGAAAATATAATTAGGAGAAGCATACTGCTATTATTAAAAGTAGTTCAATGTATTTAGAGTTATCTTGGGAATATTTGATGAAGAGAACTATAAAATCGTTTTAAAAAACAATGTAGTAGCAACATATATATGCAAATAAAGGTACAAGTCTCCCTCTTCCATTAACTGCAATGTTCCTACTGTAATAAGAGTTACTATTTTTAAAATATCACAAAAGAAAAGTTAGAACTTTTAGATATCCCATAGGTTTTGAAGTGGGGTGGCAGAGAGTATAGGAAAATTGGAGAAAAGTGAGAATGATTTAGAAAAGTCTTGTTATGAATAGTCTTCCCATAACAATAATGTCTATGGCTTTCACTTCTACCAAAAAAATATCTTCTTCAACATGGAATCTTTCACATTGTTACTAACTAAAATTTTATCACATAGAAGTTCATCTTGATAAATAAACACTTTCAGAAATGTAAATAGTTCTACACAAATTAAGGGGAAAGGTTGATAGAAGTAATTTGAAGGACAGAATCGATCTCCCATAAGCGCTTCAAAATCATGTAACTGAAAATGCTGTGTATTTCATTCCCGGGAACCCTACATTTCTTGACTTCTCTGTTTCTATTGAGCGCACGACTTCAGAATTCACCCATCACTCTCTCTTCTCCCTCACCCTCTTCACACAGTCAGTGGCCATGTCTTTTTCATTCTGTTTCCACAAGAGCTTGCTTTCCATCTCTGCCTTGTT